ATTAAATTTGAACCTAGAAATTGTATAGCGAACAGAGGCTGCTTTCTCCTGGAGTGGAATGTTGAAAGTTCCGTGGTCCAAGAAAATGTCCTCATCTTGGTCCTTTCATCCGATTTCTCCTTTCATAGAAACTCATCTATTCTACCGTGTCCTTCAGAGACTCGCCCACGTATTTCCGTTTCTGCCTCTATTTTGCTGCTTATTTTTACTCTTATTAAAGTGACAAATCCTTTGATAGATATTGAACTGTGGAAAGTGCTCATTCTCACCAGCTTACACCATTTTCAGTTGAGACCGACCGTTTCCCTTTTCTCACAACACCGGATAGGTAGGCACACAAATAGGAAGGAAGGCCTGAGCACTCTTAATTGTACCCTGAGAGTCGAGCTCCAATTGAAGAAAAATGAATAGGACAAGTGTTGCCATTCACTCAGCCCTGTTATGCACGACTGTTCCAAGCACCTGAGCTGTGCAATTCAAAGTCTTTCAAATATATTTCCACTCAACGGAACAGTTCGAAATGAAAAATAATGAAATTGAACTCAAAGAAATTACTCGCTTTTCCAGAATTGTAAGAACAGTGGCGGCGGAAGATGACGTCATCGGGGGGACATTGGTATCCTGTCAATGTTAAGAAGTCCCGCCTTCTTATATCCTGCAATGCTAATGTCCCCCCGATGACGTCATTTTCCGCCGCCACTGTGTAAGAAATTATACATTAAGCCTAGTGCCAAAAAGTTTAACCTTGCTTGTTCATTTTACTTGAGAGCAAAGCAACACCTCTCATTACGTCACAATATTATGTACCTATGTGTGTATGTGTATACATAGTTTGTAGGAGCGAAATGATTCTTCACTTGCTTACTTATCCTTGGTTAGCAGTGTACAGCGTTATGCATTTATTTATTGCATACATTTAATACAAATGAAATTGCCCATATTGTCAATGGGGTCTGTCGGCACTGCAGTCAATATTGTTTGTTAGAGCACACATAAATACGTACATACATATTGGAAGTAAATATTATGAAAACACGCAACACTTCTAATAATGGACGGGGCTGGTTAGTGTCTAAAATTGTGTTGTGAACCAAAACTCACTTTGCGTTTGTTGGGATGAATCTAACAGCTACGAAACAAAGCTTACGGTCGGTTGGTATGATGAGCGAGGATAAAACCCGCATATACGAGCCATGACGGTCACGGAATCTCTCATTTATCCAGTAACCGTTTAATTTGATGAGGTCATTTGCTGCGTTATGATTATCCATAATAACACTTTTCGAATAACGAAATTGCTCCGGTAATTGGCATGTTTCATCCGAGAGAAAATATCTAATTGTAGTTACACTTTCTCCTTCTCTTTCTTCCTCTCCCCGTGTTGTTGTACCTGAATTTCCAGCCAACACCATATCCATCGATCCTGCCCATTTCAGTGAGTCATGGTTCAATATTTAATTTCAAAGGTTGGACCCCAATTTCGAGCCTTTAACCATTGGTCAAATCTGAGCATCCAAAAAATTTCCACCCTGCTTACGGTTGCAGGAGTTTTCTTCTCTGCATCCCAAGTAAAAACCAATTAGGCTCATTCAGAGAGTTACGTAAAATATATATGAAACCTGGCTCGTAATAATAGTAACAAGTTTCGGAAACTAACGTTTTGGCCCAAGACGGATCAGATTTTCTCATCAGCTTATGTATACCCTTGGTTCATTCTCCGATGTCACTAGCCACCTAAATGCAAGAACTGACCCTGAACCTCTGCTCTATAATAATTCAAGGGCGTAAGTTGAGCACGAAACAAGATTTTGTTTTACATTTTAATTCGTGCCAGTTGCACCCAGTTGGTGGGGATTATCCTGATAATGTGATAGGTTCATATCCTCCGTCCGATCCCATCTACGTGAGTTGTGAGCAAAAAGCATATTATTTCATGTAATTCATACGTAAAAAAGTTAAAAACTGTTCATGAGATTTGGACACTATCCATAAAATGGAGAAACACTAAAGCAAGCTGATCTGTTGTTGCGTACTGCATTCACACTTTGTGCTTTATAAATAACTAAATAAAGTTACAACTAAAACTAAATCTAAACCAAAATAAATTGTGTTTATTTTCGGTTATTTTATTTTCATTCGCGTTTAATAACATATTGAATATGTTACTTGAATTCAGTTGGTCGAAAAGAGTTGAGTTGTAGACCTCAATTTTGTATGCAGCAAAAGCACTCATGTTTCTGATAATGTAGATACAATCCTTTCTGGACGAATCTATTTGAAGGCAGGCAATATACATAATTACGCAAGCTGGGAGGGTGTGTACTTGTCGACTCGCAGAAGGGACGAGCTACGCAGCCAAGGTAAAACCATTAAAAGTCGTATGATGTGAAAGTTCCAGAGTGAATCGTATGAACGTTAATGAAATTTGGAACCAGCTACCGAAGAGGAACATACATTAATTAGAAGCATGTCTGAGACTAATTGCTTCATCCATCTACGCACAGATCCACATTCAATCTAAACTTTCTCCAACTAATATTGTTACAAGATCATAAATGCAGTTCACCACGAATTTCCTTTTCCCACAGGCGGAGGATACGCCCAGAAGTGAAGAGTCATATTAAATGCTTCTAGTGATTAAATTGCATGTATATCAGAGAATCTAAAACAAGTCGCTTAATTCTATATCGATTGAAACTTGTACATAGTTTATGTTACAAAACAAACTGTAAATCACCTGTAAACACATACGTAATTATTTATTCAAGCTTTTTCACTTGGACCGTGTTTCCAAACGTGACTTGCGACATGTAGAGAATAATGTAGTGAAAGACGCCATTGATTTTTTATGTTGCTCAGCAGACGTTCGTGAAATAATGACTATCTTGGATAGGAAGTCGATCCTTGAGAAAAAATATGTTTCCGACAGCTCTTGGATAAAACAAACAAAGTGAATCTTCTATCCGAAACCTTTTAACCTTTGATTGATGGTAGCGGAAACTTTGGTCGATTTCTTTTTCTCGTTTAGAACGATGAAAGTGCTTTGAGACCGAGGAAATGGATTCTTTGTTTCTAATTTATAAATGAAACAGCAGTGAAACAAATACCCGAGATGTGGGTGGGATAAGTAAAATAGCTAATAATGCGTATCGGCTTTTGTGAATGCCCAATGCAACATTGCGATAATAGCATTGCACAATAAATGGCACAGTCACCTTGGACCATCCTCTGCAACACTTGTCACAATACGGTTTCAATTGCTATCCTTTCTGTTATATTGCATTTTAAAATGAATACGAACATATGCAAACCAGCTATGGAATTCTTCAAAAGAAACCCAGTGCAAGTCATAATGCAACATTCGGTACATGCATGCTTATTACATTTTGTTTGTGCTAAATTAATTATACATACATAGTGTACACATATCTGTAGATGACCAGCAGACTAAATTGTATATAAAAAAATATTTCGCACGCTTAATTTTTATTACACCATAAAATAGTGATCCACGCGATTTTCTGCGTAGCTTTTAGTTTAAAAATTAGGTCAGATGGAAGACTTGCATAATTCAAAAAACTATTCTGCCGTCTAAAACGTATACTTGATGTTTTATTACCTGTCGGATCCATAAACAAATATTTAATAAACATCATTTTATGTTATTATTTTAGCTCCATATTTGACAGGATCTGTCTAATAGTACATTCATTTATCTAGGCTATGGTTTATAATTTCTTGCACAAGATTGACTTCTGGCCGACTTAACTTCTTATTTGCAGTGAACCGGGTTGGTTTACAACAATCATAGGCTAAATCTCAGATCAAAGGGGAAGCAACCTTGGGCAAGTCAACATATTTGTTTACTGAGGCCCACAATCGGAAATGAAAATAGAGAATAATATGATCTGCCTGGCATGCTCATTGTTCGCTCCGCTTTGACTTTCACTCCGGTCTTTTAATTAAGGACTAAAACCAATTATCTTTGTATGGTCTCAGACTTTCAATAATTAGAATTTGATGAAGTGACTACGAACCCCTCTTAATTTACTTGGATCTTTAAAGTATTAATAATTTACCAGCTTTTTCACTTGGGTGAATATGAAAAAAGTTCTGTTTGGTACGGTATTGTATGCATGTATGCATTTATGTATGTAAATATGTGATACATATGTAGATGTGATTAATTGTGATTGGTGTGCATAACATTATATACAAATATAATCAAATAATGATTATGTGAAAGTCGTATTTTGATTTCCTTCTTTATTATTCATCTTTTAACATCGGTATCATCGTTTCATGGATTCCATGATAAGCAATCGTGGTTATAATAATCAATATGTTCTTACTAATTTGGATGGTTATTAACAAGCACATTACATGTATGCAGATACACACTTACATAAAAACGTGCAATATATTGGAAAAAATTTTGCACAAGCTTTATTGAATTTTTAAGTACGATGTGGGGTGTTCAATTAGTGTCACATTTTACAATTGATTTATATTATTAAATAAAAGTAAATAACAAGGTCTTGTTGTCGACAAAGACTTGCAGAACCATTGACGCGAGTCGTAACCATTGATATAACTGTCAAGTTATTCATTTGAAATTCTAAATAATTCCAGGTTTGAAGGTTATTCAAATTTCGCTTTGCCAAAGAGCAAATTAAATTGCTGTATTTCAGCATGATTATGAGGTTGGTCGGCTTTATTCAGACAGGCAGGCAGGCATACAAACTAGTCGGTCTGTTTGTCCTGTCACGGAACAATGCATTCAGAGGAAAGGATAACTTACATAACAACAATATGACGGTAAACAACCAGCGTTCGTACTAATATATCCAACTTTAGACGTTTGTCTCACTAAATGACATATTTGTATGACATATTTACACAGGAATCTGCCCTCTCTATACGTACATTCCCAAACCCACCATCAATTCCTCGTTATATTTAGAGATTCAGATTTTTCTTTCTCTATTTACTTGTAATTGTTATCATTCGGAATTTGCATACAACAATCGTATGACCAGTTTTTCATATCCCGCTGTATGTTCTGCATATGTAGATCCAGGTGTACATTACAACAAACGAGGTATCATATAATAATTTGATGATGAAAAGTATTGTGAAACTGAAGAACCACAATAACGTTTTCATTGTAAAACAAGCTCACATCAATGCAATACAATGTGTAGACAAAAGTAAAACATTAGCTTGTGTATCCAAAACAATGCGCGAGGCTCCGAGAATTCCATTCTCAGCAAAACAAAGTGAGCTTTTTTGTTGATGGATGTTTCCCTTATGTTTCTGCCACGTGCAGAGAGTGAAACAGATAACTAATGCTTGTTGCCTCCATTCCTCCCAACTTTCATTTGATAGGAATGACTTGTTTTCTCCCAGATGACGAGGAGGAATATCATAGTGCAATCCTGCTTCCTCGGAATTGCATGGTCGTATCTATGTAGGAAACAAACAGGCTGCGAGTACTTGAAAATTGTTTAAAAATTAGAGTTTTCCACTGCTCACCTTTTAGCTAGAGGAAGAATTATGTTCATGTCGGTCATCCAGTTCTGGAACACAAAGCTTTTTCTTTTTTCGTGCATGAAATAGGATGAGATGGGACGAGAGCTTGTGTTGTAAAACTGCGAGATTTCAGATTTTCTTGAGTGCGAGAAAATGTGAGCACGAAGGAAGAGGCTGAAACTGAGAATTTATTATGAGCTCGTGAGAAAGAGAAAAATTTTAATAGTCCATTTTGCATACTTGGTTGCTTTCGGATTCTTCATAATTTTTTGGAGATTTGCAAAAATATGGGTTCCTTGTCTTCCTTATAAAGAAAATGAACGGATGAGTCTGAGACAGATAAATTATTGTCCTACATATATATATACACATATGCCTACAAGTGCAATTATTGCACATGATGTTTATTGAACTTGCCAAATTATTAAGGCTTTTTATAAATGTGGTATCATTATCAGCATTATCCTTTCAGCGTTTCCATCCCCAGCACGCATTAATTCATTTAGTCACCCGAATTATGTGAAAATACAATTTACTCGTAAGAATTTTCACGTTTGGAGGATAAGCCGAGCATCATTTCGCTGCATACATACCTATAATATGAATTTGGAGCCTACATTATACTGACCTGTTCAGGACAATAATTAATTAGAGGAGTAATTAAAGGAGGATGACGAACCTTTGTCTTCTTGGTCCGCCCATTATTCGGCATGAATTACAGTTGTATTTATGTGCGTATAGCTAATATAACTCTAACAAAGGCTGTGGTTCATTCATTCGTAACGCATTACTCCTTAGTGCACATGTTTTGAAACAGAGATAAGAAAGTGGGTTAAATCTTGACACGATGAAGGCACATCCTACCACACAAGCAGCCGAGCCGACAGTTCCAAAGATACCCTAAATCAATAAGAGGTTGAAGAGGTTGGAAAAGTAAATAAGAAAAAGAGTATTTTCCATTGTATGAAATATCACGATTGTTTCCTTCCACCATTGAATTGGTTCCTTGTCATTCAGCTGGATATGAAAAATGCGTTGGTGCTGCTATCAGAGGCACACATCTTAATCGATCTTCCACTTCCAACCCCTCCGATTCCAAATCTCAATCTTAGTTTTGTGGTTGAAAGAATCCAATCGGTGGGTAGTGCAACGAGGGCTGCGGAGAAAACCTTCGTCACGCCGTCCTATCAACATCAACTATTATTACTTTATTACTTTGTACAATATCCGGGCTCTCGTAGACACGTTCACAAACAAACTTTCACGTCCACTACAGACGTCTCCCTCTCTCCAGCACCGTTCAACGCCTACTCCACCAATTCGAAAACTCCTTGAACTTTTCGGCGGCAACTATGGCTTTCGGATGGAGTGAGCTGGAATTTCACCATCATTCTCGTGATTCGGGTAAAAATTACGGCTTGTAATGCAGACATAGACAACGGCTCGAAATCTGACAATGAGATTAGCTTCTAATCTATACATGCAGCGTATTATTTACTATTTTATACCACAGCAAATCTTACCCTAGTTTGGAAATTTTATAATTGTGCAAACCATTTCTGCGAATGAATTTTGAGGCAAATATAACTTCAGCTGGAAAAACTTGACAAAAGACGTTTTTCCTAGAAATTTCGAACTGATCTTGTTGTTGGCTTTTTGTTTGTACTCTCTCCTTTTGAATGTTTCTTTCATAAAATGACGCGATTTTTTCACTTCCCTTTGAATGTGCCTGGAACAGAAGCAACAACACAAAGAGAGAATTTAGAGAGAGAACCAACATAAATCTCATAACTTTCTGGATTCCTATACAAAGTAAAGTTAACAACCAACCAAATCACCCGAGCGTCCAAAAGAGAAAGCCCACTCAGATAATATATATATGGTTTGCTAGCTTTGTGTCAAGAGTAGTTCAACTAACATTTACTTTTTGCAAGTGGCCACGCTAGGAAGAATCACTTGCACTATAGATTCACACAAAAATACTCATCCAACGTTTCTTTCACATTGTCAGTTAAGTCTTTGCCTCAGTAAAACACGGATACAACACTATACGATATTGTTTTCTGAGATTATATACGTACATATGAGCTCAATTGATTGTCTAATCCATTGGAAACTAGCTCATTCATACGAATATGCTTGTTCCATCAATTCTCACAACTCTTTCTCTTGATCATTCAGAATCATTCAATCCTAAAATATTTTAAAACTTTTAATTAATCTCAAATGCTAAGGTGTGAGAAAGTTGGGATAAAGATATCCCTGTAACTCGTCAGAGAAAGTGGATTAATCGAATTTTGTATGAAGCGAAGTATTTGTACATGAGTTTTAAATACTTTACTTGCTTTTGATAGTTATTACAGCGAACTAAATGTATAGAATTCGTACGCTTTTAGTTAAACATGCATCTTAGATTCAATTTTACTAATGCAACGCATATCTTCAAAGGTGCTAATACATAAAACTGTCCATACTCCATCTCAGTGGTCATTGCGGTCGGGATTTCCTATGTTCTCTTCGTCAAAATGGAACATGGCTTGGTTGCCGAAGAGGGTGGTTCGTTGGTTTTGGCCGAGTCTAACCCACTAACCGGGTTAGATAGAAAAGTCCTACGTTCTTCTTCTAGCACCTAACGGAGTTTGAATTCCAGTTCCACTCTGGAATTAGGAGGGTCTTGATTTAATTTTTAATTAAACTTCTACTTAAGCAAGAAATGGGCACCCATTACGATAAGGAATGTCGCAAATCCTAATCTCCCACCCACCGACCTCAGACGACTGGTTTAATTTACATTTAAAAGGATATGGGACCAGTCTTCCATATTTTAACCGAGTTACCACAAGTTTCAGGTGGCTGAATAGAAATTCAGGGGTGACGGATCGAGTCTAAACATCCTATACATATATTCTGAGAACAACAATCCTGCTTAAAATTGTAGCATAGGACTCGTGAATTTGAAGAGAAACTCACTAGGCGTGCCAATTGTATCGACATAAGAAGAAAATCGCAAAGCTTCCTCAGATTTAATTATTCAAATGACACCAGCAATGAAAATGTCAGAATTGTTATTAAAATCGTTGAGGGATTAACTTTCTTGATGGTCCCAATTTTAATTCTAGTAGGAAATATTATGTTGCCGAAGAGAGAAATGACCCTGACTGGATGATACGGTTTATGCAAATAAATATCAGGCTTGAAACAGTAGTTACTACGTAGTTATATGTATCCAGGAGCGGTGTGTATACTGCATATCTTGCGGGAAGTGGATAGACTTTGTCATTATGGAGAAAGTTGCAGATTGACGATTATCTGTTGGATGCGACGTGATGGTAGTTATTTGAAGGTTCTGCGGAGAGTAGGGAGCCGCTGCTGTTGAGTGAAAGCTCGTGGCGTGGTATTGCATGGCAATGAAATGACAAGTATAGAGCCAGTCTTCTTCTTCTTCTTAGGAGACCACTTCCAACCACACCATCCGGTATGCAAAGTAATCTAAAGGACCCCGGCCTTGCTAACAGCACATTACACCGTTTAGCATTTCTTCCCTTCTGTCTAGGATGTAATTAAGGACACCATGATGATAATCGTTTATAGATACTTATGCCATATCATAAACATTCCCCTGCTCCTACCACCTTATTCCCCACTCTGTTTCTCTCTTTCTTGGCTGGTGGACTGTAATGACCAAACTTGATTGAGATTTGGAGAGCCACCTTATTTTGCACATCATCCTGGGAATTTGAAAGTGAGACTAAAGTTCTGACGGGAGTATGAAGACTGAATCATAAATGTGATACCTACCAATCAATCCATTTATTCCACTAATCTTTGCCTTTTCTCAAGTTTTAGCTAGAAATGAAATAAATCTCTCAAATTAGAGATTGTGATGATCATTTGGCAACCAAGAATCACAAAAGTTATGGTTTTACTTTGAAAAAACATCTGCTCATTCTATTAAGAAGACGACGTCGAACTTTTCCTTGTTACGATAATGATAGGTTTATTGCTTCGCTCTCAATTTTGTTGATGCTAACAAGGGCACCATCTTTTATATCTGCTACCGAAAAACTGCCACAAACTAATGGGGCTAGCAAAATCGAATGTTACAGGAAAAAGTTTTCCTATTCAGTCTGAATAAGTAGTTAGCAGATTCGCAAAACCTCATTCATGGATTTACACAAATTCGAATAGACTCGGAATTTTCAAAATTGGCAAGGTACATATATAAGTTGGGGATTGGGGATACATTATTTAGCGCAGTTGGAAGTGCTCCTAGTAATTACTCTGCGTTATTGGCAAGAGGATTCCTCCGTGTGTGCATGGCAGTAATGCGCGGCGGCGGCAGTTCGGAGAAGAACTCGTACGTATGATACGCCTGAATTCATTAAAACCTGCAATTATTAACATTTGATGGATTTCACATCGCGGCATTTGGCATTTTGTCATCTTTGATCTCGCCAGGTCATCAACAATAAATATTAATACAGGCAGCGAGATACACATACATATCTAGATTTGGACAATCTAAATTCCAATTCGGAATCATGCATAATTTGCCGTTGGGATTAGGCAGCAGGAGCCCATTCGTGCCTCGCATCCAGCGGGCGACAGGTTCATGCAGACTGATCCTCCGCAGATCGGATTGAATTGATGCGTCGTCTGATCTGATTTAGGGACGAATACGGTGGGTACATCACGTCCTTGTTGTCTCCTTCACTCCAATCTGTCGTCGTCCAACTCCACATTCGTCTCCATCATGCCCATGATGGGCTTATTATCGCGTAGGTGCATGTTCATTAAACTGGCTTCCTGTCCACCCCGCCACATAGGAACCTACATAGGTTTGCTTTTATTATGCTCCAGTTCTCACACAATATACTCTTGTTTTTTCTACAGTGGACTCACCATTTCATTGAAAACTTACATAATACACATCTGCATTCGGATTATTCCTTAAAAACAACTTTCCAATTTATTGAATTTGCAGTGGATTTCTTTAGCCGGAGCTGATGTACTCGTCACGGCTGTCTGTCCTTTATCCATAAATTAGGAACGCGTTGACCGATTTTCGTCATATGAGACCGTTGGCACGCGAAGAATGAATAAATTCAACTTGACATTTACTTAGCCGGGGGTCCAACTATGTCAATTTTTTTTAAAGGTGTTGCATTTAACTCAAAATATGAGCCGCATGAACTTGTGAAAAATGATTTAAATGATGACGTGAGCATTTTGAACCAAGTAGCCAAATAAAAAATTAAGATCATCGGAAAATTTGATACTCACACATGAATGGGAACTTTATAACTATTTAATAAGTCCTGGTTCGGGCTAAACAGAGCTGTACCGAAGGTGAAAGTGCATTTTTTATTTATATAATATTGGGGAAGAAGGATACTATTATAGCTCAGCAAGCGGTAGAAATTGTATCATGACAATATTTGAGTGAAACGGCAAATGTGCAAACATCGACAGTGGAGAGAAGAAAGAAAGTCGGGGTTGACTATCGCTGGAAATTGACAAGGCAGCGCATGTTCACCCCAGCCCAGCCAACGCGAGAACCCGTGGTGCCTGCTTCCCCAATGTAAGCCTTCATCCAAATGTGGTACGTACGTGTGTCCTGTCCTGCCGAGTCCTCCAATTCTCTCAACGCTGCAAAGGAGCAGACTGGGAAATCATACGCTCCCTGGGAAAGAGAACAAGTTAGGCGAGTTACGGCTGGGAAAGAAGGGAGAAAGTCTCACTTTTCTCACAGGCTGAATTGCCCCCTAACTCAGTTCGTTCGGGGATTTCATCACGTACTGTTCTGTTCCATCACATCCGATTCTCACATTTTCACAGCGTTTGATTCTCGACTAGTAAATCCGCAACTGTCAATCCTTCCTTGCCGGATATCGTAACCTCAAAGTCGCAGGAAAATTTCACAGAATAATAGAGTGTTGATTTCATTACATTCACTATCCGTTAGGTGAGAAATAGTCATTATCACTCCCAAGAAAAGTGCACTCGTGTCACCATCTGAGATAAGATGTACGATAGTGCATATGAAAAGTGAAAGTACCGCAATAACTTTAAAGAAAAGTGGCGAGCATAATATACTCAAATTCAACGTGAGTGCAGGAGTGGTTCTAATGAACATATTTCTTATTACGAAACCCATCTGATGAAGACAATTTCTCTAATTATAATTATTATCAACCAGTGACGTTAATTATTTTTACAAACAAATAACAGTACACAAGTCCTTGGATTTAAAAAAACATTTAACGCCAGGGTAAATATACAGTTAAGTCGTTCTGATTCCAAATTAGAAAATTTGAATTTTAAGCGAAGGTTAATTACTTTGCTGTAATAGCTCATGAGTCATAAATAAATTAAAAATAGTTTCAACATAATTAACATTCTCGGTTGGTTATGCACTCTCTCGGAATTGAAGAAAGTATAAATCCTTCAGCTGGACAGAATAGCCTATAAACTTCACTTCACGGTCACCGGCATAATCTGGATTTAAATTGAAGTGGGTGATTTTCTGTAAGTTTCCCTAAATAAACATTGGTGCATGAAGAAAGCTGACTAGCCGCCTGCTCCTGAGCGAGAGATAGAGGGAAAGGTTCAAACTTTTATTTCAATATCCAAGTTACCTAATGGAAAGCACGATATTTTAAATTCACGTTGCAATTTCAACAACCATCGTCAATTTGGAGAATCGAATCCTTCCTGTACCTCCCGAGGCTATTGATTTCACTTCACTTTCACTACCAACAATTTCCAGTCCACATTTCCTCCAGCAGCGAGCACCAGAGTACCAACTAGTCTGCTCGAAAAGAGGACAAAATTATTTACTGGTGTGTGATCGTTCGCAACCACATTGAATGAAAATTGTATCACACTGAGAGTCCACAGAAGCGAGCAATTCAAATCACTTTTACTGCAAAAGTAAGAGAAACATTCTTGTGTAAAATATTCGTGTCGGTGGTGTGAGCAAGGTGGAAGAAAAAACCAGAGGCTCGACACCCAGCCAACGAAACCAGTGTCGTACGTAAGCAACGTGTGATTCCGTTTACAACGCGTGGAGTGGGGACAGGAAAGGTGAGAATTTGTAAACTGTCGCGACTCCCTGTGCACCACGCTCGTATGCTGCGGATGAGTGTTGACACTGCTATTATACGCGTTTAGTCGAACAAAGAATTAAATAGGACGAGAGAGAAATATTGATACTTGAGTCCCAAACTTTCTCTCAAATCATTAATTTGTGAAGAGTGTACTCCAAATGTATGTCAATGTAAATACATTATTGCGCCCAACTCCAACCTTTGAAACAACTCTCCTTGGCATCGAAATGTCTCCGACATAAAGGAAAGAAAAAGTAAGTCGCCTCATAAAATGCTGAGTTTACAGGCATTTTCGTATTAGATGTGCACATACACATGCACAGAATACGGACTCTCATCACATTCAGTCCACTAGACATTGAATGTTGTCTCACTTTATACTTGCTTGTGTAAGTTCTTTGATGCATTTAATATGTGAATGCTCTCATTGATTCAGACTTGAGAACCCTTTAAGAATATCGAATGAATGCACACAGGGATTGGATTCTGGAAATAAAATTCTGCAGAGCTTTGTTCATAAAAACGGTCTGCCTCCCGTTTTTGACTTGAATTAGAGTTTTGCAAGTATGCATGCAAGTTGGTTTGGCTATAGCAAATACGCGGTCAACCACAAGAGGCTGGATTCTATGTGAATTTTACTCAATTGCAAACGCCTTCGATCATGTTACATACGATTATTTGAATTTTATTGTCATATTCCTTTTTTATTATCATTCTCCATTTCATCTAAAAGTTCAAATATTGTAACGAATCTGTACTTTTTCTCAACTTTCGGGATTTAATCTTATCGCAACTCTACACACTTTTCTTGATTGCTTCTTTCAAATGTTATGTCTGAAGGCTGTTGCACGCAACACAATTATACAATTATATTTAGAGCCCACTTATATAATATGTTGGTCTCGATCGTAGTAACAAGTTGTTTTGTTTAAAATCTGTTGTTTAGTTTTTTGTATAAATAATTGACAGAAGGCCATCCGACGGAGCTTGCAAGGCTTTGACAGAAGTGTTTTCCAGGGACTTCGCAGTGAGAAAAAGTTGTTACTCCCAGATTTATAATTCAGCGTATACGGAATTTCCATCCCGAGCTGAGTGAGTGAGCCAAGGCCTTTCTTTTTCCATATCCAGTTCCACATGCACCACTACTGACCCCTTTTCACAGTTTGGTTCGGTTCGTGTAAGGAAAACTGCTAATGATTTCTTTCTGCTGGATGTTCGTTCGGTTCTTTCTTTTCTATTTGCTTGGCTGGTGGGTCGGCGGCGGGGTGATAATTTACGAAGACTTTTTCTCTTCCTCCAACCATTATCATTTATTTGATCATTCGCCTCTCAGGAATAACTTTCCCTTCCAAAGAAACTTCCTCACACTTAGCCGAGTAATGCGGGTTGGCTGGCTTTGCTTGACTTGGCTGCTGCTGAAAGTGAAAGTCCAATAGAGAAAGTCAAAGCGGAGGAAGTCCGCACTTTTCTTTACAACGTCCCATTTATTCTATCCCTCTGGAAGCCACACTGGTCACCAAAAACTAGATTGCTAGATTTAGGGGTTTCCTCGACGTGGCAAATCTTCGAGCTGAAGGTCAGAATTTCTCATAAATAATCAAGCCTGCAGTAATTTTTCAAAGGGACCTAATCACTGCACACTAATTCAATCGAAACAATCAGCCATTCACAGATATTCATACTAAAGATTTTCATATTTTCCTCATTTGGATGAAATTCTAGGATCTAAATCGGGAAAAGGTTGCACAAAATAAATTGGATACCTACTTTCAAAGTATTTTTCTTTGTTTAAATTTTAGTACTGGAATTGTAGAGTATGCAAGTAGATCATGCTCGCTCAAGTATTAACTCTTAAAATGTATTCCAATTTAGCATTCATTACACACACATTCAAGCGACATGTCATGCCGACAGTTATTTTACGAACAACAATCAAAAATTACATTTGCGGTTGCACTTAAAATAACTTTGCATGGAGAAAGTTTGTACCTGCATGATAGAATTTGGACCAAGCCTGTGTACACTGTTGAATTGAGAGACAAGTTGAACAGCCACAAACCAAAGGGTTTGCATTCTGCAACCAGATTGTAACTTGCTGTGACAAGACGGAGAGTGTCACTGTGAGCGGTGACAAGATTAATTAGGACATTTACAGGTATCAACACGCAAGCAAGTTTAGGACACGATGTGAACGCTGCTTGCTGAGCTATATGTGCATATCAGGGACAGCATCAAGGCTTAATTAGAGACATTAATTCCTTCACCCGTCAGAACAACTTTCTTGTAACACACTTAATAAAGTGGTTTCTCATGCCTTGTTCTCATTTTCAAATAAAGCCACCGACCAAGTGCTCGGCAAACCGCTCAGATTACGACGACAACAGTTGCATAAGCATAAACTCGTACATTTACTTGTATGTATATAGGACATTGTGATTACTTATATCGTTTGCTTGCAGTTTTTTAGTTCTAACGGCGGTTCTAACCATGCGTTAGAAACCATAAGACCAAACTACGTGACGTCAGCTAAAAATTCTCATAAATATCCTCGTACAAAGGTGAAAGTAACTACGAGAAGTGTATAATTTTATTGGTAATTACAAAAGACTGAAAGACGTTAGCAGCAGTGCCAGGATTTTAAACCAGCCGAATGCTTATACATATGCACCTACATAAAGTCATCCGTTGATATTGTGTGGGCGATTGCTTTCATAAATACAGTTACGCTGAATGCTTAATATTTGTTGGTGTCACCTGTCACTTACAAATTTGACTATTCCGAGCACTTCGGACATTTGAGTTCAATGGACAATCACGAAGCGTAATATTGTATTGACTAACAATGTTCATATGCAATGACAACAAAGCTTGGTTTCCCTCTCAAATGCAATTCAATTTGTTACTGTTATCTCATACCATTTCATGACAGCAAACATGAGCAGAATGGAAAGCTAAAAATAGACCCCGAATATATGGACTTTGCAAGAAGGTGGTTGGAGAGAATAACCTAATTATGTTTATTCCCATTACATAAAAGTACAGGGAAATATATAAATATATAAAGTACTGAAAGGGATGGAAATACAGAAAAGACTTGTAAACTCGAGAATTACAATGACGAATATGGGGAATTACCTTAAAAATCTTTCGTATGCATTAATTATGACATGTTATGAATCATGTTTGTCCAATACGTAACCGAGGACGGTAATTCTCAAGCCAAACCACAGAATCAGGCTCAACCTCAGCAAACGAGAGCAATGTAAATTTGCATACTTAATTTAAAGAACTTCAATCTTTTCAACTCACACTCCAATTCATAATTTGCTCCAGACATTTTCCTTTCCTTTCTGCCTCCACTCAATCTCTGTGTATTTACATTTTAAAAATTCGACCTCCGCACCCCTTTCTTGGCCAATCACTTCACCAGTAGTGCTATAGAGGGGCACATAAAAGTGGCACTAAACAAATCTTTCCACGCCATCCACGAGAGAAACTATGCTGCCACTCACTCGCGTAGATATTTCACAGAAAACTTGGCTATCCACTAGTTTTAAACTTTTCAGAATGAATTCTCCTCTCTCTCTCTGCGTTACTACGAATTTGGGGAAAGTGGTTCTACTTCATTCATCCGCTGACTTTGCTTTTTCCACTGGTGGTTAAACGATGAAAAAGCACGATTTAATCAGAGCTGTCAGCGGCTTTGGCATAATAATATTCATTTCTTTATTGCAATCAATTTACTATGTTTTTGGTAATTTTTATCTTGAAATGATGTGCTGTCGGGTGATGAGCCACCCAAGTTGTTGAACAGTTAGTTAATTTTTTAGAGATGAACAACGAACGAACTTTCTGTACTGAACTGGACCACATTTTTTCCTCTCTGCTGGATCTACATTGAAATTGATAAGCCCTGCCCTACATGTTCCCATCAGTGTAAGTAAGTCAAGCAGTCAGGTTTCCTCCTCATTTCTCATTCCTTGAAATTTACTCGTGAGATTTTATCAACCGAGTTATTTTTCAGTGTCCTGTCGAGGGTGAAGAAGTCCACTTAGTGGGATGAAGTTTCGGAGGCTCGTGATAGGAAAAAGTATTGCAGATGTCATAAGTCATGTCATCAAGAGAGGAGGAAAGTTTGGAGAAATAGTTGAACCTCCCTAGATGACCGGGAGCGCTGTGGAGGAGTCCTCATCCTCACTCACTGTGTGGGTAGGAAGGAAGGAAGGACGGCTGAAATCGAGATGGATGTCCTTCCGTTATCCGAGAGTTGATGAGCTCAGAAAATGAGTTGGTCCGTGTCACGTCCTATTAACATCCAAGTGACATGTTCTTATCTTATGCACCCTATTTATCCTTATTAGAGAGCTGCCCTTTCCCATGATTACCACTGCCTCACACACCACCATCAGCTCCTAGTGAAAGACATCATTTGTACCTTGCTCAAGATAAGATACCCAACTTGGTGGTTGGCTTTTGGCAGTTTGCAGTGAGCTCGGACTGAAAATGAAAGCATTCCGTGTATGAAAAAGTTTCTTTCTCGAGAGCTTCTTGCCTACCGCTTTTTAACTCCTTGAATCATGCAGAACACGTAAAAAGACGCCAGCGTGACGAAGAGATGGACAGCACAAGTGCAGAATGATAAGGACATGAGAATGCAACTTTCCACTCCTCAATCTTGCCAACACCTTCTTCAAAGGGACCAAAAAGATGGGAAGGACCGCTGCCAGGTTTAATATTTGATTGGACAAGTATATCCAAATGCAAGCACAGTCAGCATAGCGTTGAATCGAGCTCCTCAGCGTTTGTATACGCATCTACCAATGTAACAATGATGTAATAAAATTGTGGCACCCTTTCTCAAGCTCAATTTCCTTGAACCTTGATCATTATGTAATTTCAAATGGTGTTCGTATGTCTGTAGTATGAGCTATAAGACTATGTAAGACTTGTGTCTTATAAGTATGTTCCATATCACCGCCGCTAATGCATGTTAGCTACTCACCTGGCATGCACATATACACATTGATCGCCTGCAGTTTTGCTATTTTCATACAAATACGTACATATTTTATTAGAGTACAAACTTACAAAGTCATAGTCGTCATATACGTCAGTCTCTTGGTTTTCCTCAGCGATCTAAAACTAGTCAGGAGATCCTGAGGGACTAGAGATCAAAGAACTTGGTTAAACTTGTTGTGATGATGACTATACACAAGTCTTCAAAGCAGCGAGAGAAACCTCGGAGCGAAGGGGC